AAACATGAGGCTATGAGGCAAATGGGAATTGTCATAGACAACACCACAGTGTCCCCTCCAGCCATTAGTGAATATAGTACACTGCAGAAGAGAGTAGCCAAAAGAAATCGTAATGTCACTGCCCCAGCTCAGCTAAATAGAGAGAAGATGTAATCTGCTAGCTATGTATGTATAAATCTTTCGCCCAGTGTACAGCCGGGTGAATGCCGTTCGCACATTACTGCCATTAGATGTAGCCAAGGAGCATAAGAAATTCATATGCTTCTCGGCTCCATCTAGTGGCCATTATGCTGCAAACAGCATTTGCCCAGCTATATGGTGGACGAACGTTGTATACATCAGTCCCAATGAGGGGTGGTATGAATAAATCCATAGCTAGCAGATTACATCTTTTCTCTATTTAGCTGACCTGGGACAGTGACATTATGATCTCTTTTGACTACTCTGTTCTGTAGTGAAGTGAAGTTTTATACATCGGCCCTATTGTGTCATCTTACACCTGTGAATGAGGGTAGGCAAGCTCAGCACAAATCCCATCATGCCTCTGCCTCTTAGAGTCATGTCTGTCAGTCTTGCAATGCCTCATGGAACTTGTAGTTCCACAACAGCTGAGTCCTGAGGTTGCCTACCCCTGAATTATATAAGAGGATTGCTTTCCACACCTTACAGCGTCACTGAATTGTATGCGATGTGTTCAGGTTTCAGAACCTTCTGATCAAATCTTAGAAGAGTCCTTGCTATGTTTGAGAACTCCTCCAGCTTTACCAGCTAATACACACACGAGTGTCTGTGTGACCAGTATCAAAAATAAGCATGCTGCTAATTCTAGGAAGTGTCTATCCTCCAGTCATTTCAGTCATGTGATTGCTGTCACATCAGGTCTAGCACAGCTCAGTACTTCAAGGATATTTAGGTCCTACTCCAGACAGTTGTATTTTCTTTTGTATACGGAAGACAAGAATTAGAACCCTTGTCAGTTGTCCTTTGCGCTGTCCCCATTGAGATTTGTTTTGTCGTATTTTAAATGCTGTCAGAGTCCCCATGCAAGAGATTCAGTCTTTCTTCCTGTTCTGACCTCTGTCAACCTGGGCTGGAAGTGAGTGGAAATACTCGTCATGGCAACACAAACAACTATAAATCCTGGCAGAGGTTTTGAACATCTACTAGAAACATGATTTAAAGTGAAACTTCCCATTTAAAAAAAAAAAAACGTGCTGCAGCATTTTAGGCCTCATTCAAATAGAGGTGACGGAGATAGCCTGCGTCTAGGGCCGGGGTAGCCAAACTCCGGTCCTCCAGCTGTGGTGGAACTACAAAAGATTCTCACAGACATGACATGCGAAGAAAGATGCATCATGGCATTTGTAGTTTCATCACAGCTGGAGGGCCGGAGTTTGGCTACCCCTGGTCTAGGGGCATGCATCTGTACCCGTAGGGGTATGGGGTCAGTATGGAGCAACGTACAGCGGCTTCTTGTCATTGAGGTGTACAGCCATCTGCATGCACCAGCTGTGACTCCCGGGCACAGGTTTCTGCATGGACGTTGTACAGCTGAGGCCTTATAGGTGCATCTGCACATACATTTTTCTCATAGTCCCTCTGCAAAGTCCCACAAATGCCTATTAATCCTGCCAGTGAAGTCCACCTAATGCAGCTTCCTGTGATGGGGCAGCAACAATGCTAGACTCCCATGAACTCAGAGCAGAGTCGCCCCTCTGAGGTAGGCAGTGCTTGCTTGTACTTCAACGGGATAACAATTGTTGCAGGGAGCGTAACTATCAGCATTGTCAGGGTTTGTCAATCAGCACCTGGCCACGCCTAGTCTGGCCCACTGCTTTCTGGATTGGCAGCATGTGAGCCACAAATAAAGGATTCGGCTTAGTCAGGGAAGGTAAAGAAAGTCTTTTGTTATGTTAGGAGGCTTGTGCATCACATTGTAATTGGATTTGGGACCTGTTTAGACATTCATACAGAAGCCCTGAGGCCATGACCTAAACTAATCCATCCTCCCCCTCCATAGCTGCATACTTACCTGGATCAGATGGCCATGGCCTCTGTTATTTATTTACGTCTTGTGCTGCAAGTCTCACAGTCCTGGTCCTATCTGCGCATTACAGCCCCATAGACATCTCCCTTTCTATGCGGCCCTATAGAAGTCCATGGGGTTGTAATGTGTGGGTGTGGCGGGCGAAGGGTTGCAATAACATGCAAACAGCATGGATGCCAGCTCATCGTGCTTCCATGTGGGGACCTGAATGTGATGTACACATTGTACACTCCACATAAAGTTTTAAAAAAAACAAACAAAAAGGAAACAGAAGAAATTCTTCAATTCAGCTCACTTTCCAGTCCCGCTATGTTGACCTAAGGCCCCGTTCACATATAGCGACATACCTTTTGCAGCGGATCCGCACGGCCGGGATAGCGCGACTTTCGGGGCGACGTTCCAGCGACGATCCAGCGACGGTAGCGCGACCTTCCCCGTCGGGCTCCATAGAAAAAAAGCAAAATCGCGCAAAATCCGCCGAAAAAAGGGTCCGGTAGAAGCGACTTGCGACCGCGACATGGAGTTAAGACAGCTCCATTGAATAACATTGGCCGGCGACTTCTCGCGATATCGCGGCGGAAATCGCGCGACAATTCGCTATATGTGAACGGGGCCTAAGACTGTAACCTTGAACAAACCCTTAAGCAGACCATACACAGGTTGACTTTTGCTGACTCGGCTAAAATTTGACCAAAGCGTGGCCCCCTTTTAACAATCGAAGGAGCCGGTCTGAAAAATCTCAGCCGAACAGTAACTGCAACCAATCAGCTGCAATCACTTTTTGGTTATTCTGACAGCAGCACACTCACCACTATCAGAATACAGGGGATGAATGATAAGAAAGAAACTGATAGAACTAATGTGAACTCAGCCGTGTTACTTGGGTAAATGTGATAATCCGCGTTGTTTACTTACAGCCGTGATGCACCGGTGATTGCCTGCAATAACATGCAATAGCGCAGCCACTGCAGTGCAACGGCCACCCTTCCTAACCGGAGCTGCTCCCTCACTGAACCAAATGCTGCAGAATGTTACTCAGCACCAAGGGAACCAAGTGTCTTCTTCCTAGCAATACGCAAACTGGACCCCATCCCCTGCAAAGCCCTTACTTACCTCCTCTGAAGGGTTTTGGCTTCCTGCACTGTCTGTAGCCTAACCAGTAATGATCCAGTACCCGGCTGCCCGCGTCTGTGCACTAAAAAGCATGGATTGAGGAATCTCTCCTGCTGGCTATTGTATTCAGGCAGCTGGTACACATGGTTGTCTCAATAACTGAACAGTGACTGCATCCGATTGGCTGTAGTCACTTTTCAACCCGCCTTCTTCAATTTTGTAGTCGAAGTTTGTTAAGCCAAGAAGGTCACCCGTGGCTAGAAGTCTGACCGATTCAGCAGGAATTGGCTAACATTCAAGCTGTGTATGGCCAACTTTAAATGGGTCCTGTCTGTACTGCAGGAGCAATGATGTGCGGAGGGAGTGGCAAGCAAGCCCATGCCAACACATGTTGCTGAAGCATGGTCCACCACTGCCAATCAGTAAACCAGTCCAGAGGAATGATGTGCAGATGAAGCTGGATGTTGACCGAAGTGGCTGAGAGAGATAGAATGTTAGCAGCACAAAACGAAGGAAAAAAAAAAGGATAAAAATAAAGTAATAAAAAGGTTCTACCACAAAAAAACGAGGAAATGGTTTACAATACACTACGCATTAGCAAATAGAAAGGGTTTAAATCTACTGTAAGATTAAAGTAAACTATACAGCAGGGGTAGGCAACCTCTGTACCCCAGCCGTTGTGGAACTACAAGTCCCATGGTGCATTGCAAAACTGGCAGCCACAGGCATGACTCCCAGATACAGATTCATGATGGCATTTGTAGTTCCACCACAGATGGGATGCTATATAATAGAAGGACAACCCATAAACAATCCAGTCACACCGGCCTTTGTACCGCAGGGTTGTTGGCAGGCCTAGTGGGGATTGGAAGTCAGGTTGTTTTCCCTCATTGCAGTGCAGATGACAGCTGTGACGCAGCGGGTCCTGTTTGCATTGCAGGTCAAATACGTCTTGCATCTGAACGCCGACATCTGACCGCCACTGAAATGTATAATCCTGTGTTTGACACCTATTCCCGATTGTGAAATATGCCACAAGCTGGCCGTTCAGCATACAATCCCATCGTACAATCTATGTACAAATTGTTTGGATTTTACAAAACTGTGAAATGTGAAGACAAAGCTAAACATTTCATTTGTATCCGGACAGGTCCTTGTACCAGATCTGAAGGAGGCTGCACAATCACATTGCATTGTCACCTTAAGATCTGCCATGAACAATGTCGGGGACGGGTCTGTCTGATGTGACACAAACTGAATGAAGTGTTAAGGTCAGTAATTATATGACACAGTTGTGGTGGCTGTGAGGGAGATTGTACAATCAGAGTGTACAGTGTATGATCACCCTGGACAGGATCACCGTGGTGACATAACACAGACTGTTGGCCAGTAATAATGAAGATGACAATAGAAGGTTGTCACCAGTACAATCACTCCACTATTCCCAGCCCATAGATGACAATACAGCACACAGTCCCCTCCAGCATACAATCTGATCACATGTGACACGAGAGTGGGATCAGGCATAACCGGTCCTGTCACTCAGCGCCTTATACAACCATCACAAACCCTGGGAGAACATGATGAGCCTTGTAGTGTCCCCCCGACCGCCTATCTGTCCTCCCTGCAACCCCTCATCCAAGTCCTCTTCTATCCCCACATGTACTGTCCTCCCTGCACCCCCCTCACCTCATGTACTGTCCACCCTGCACCCCCCTAACCTCATGCACTGTCCTCCATGCACCTCGGCTCCGTTCATTTACTGTCCACTCTTTACCTTTCACCTGATTTGCTGTCCTCCATGCACCTCCCCTCACCCGAGTCCCTCTTAGGCTCTTACCCCATGTACATGGTATCCCTCGTTGCCGCCATCGGCGGCCTCGGAGCTCAGGGACAACCCCATGGCCAAGAAGACTCCGCCGTGTCAGCGTCGAATTCTGTTCCAATGTAAATCTTGGTTCCCCCAGCCACTCGGCTATTTCCGTAACCCCGCCCCTTCCCTTCAACCGCATGCGTATTTGCATAGCCCCGCCCTCTCTCCTAGCTTCTGCGTTCACTCAGATCTCCAGTTCTCCACACTGTATAAGAAATCCCCTCCATGACTGTGCGTCACATTCCTCCTCAGTCTGTCCGTCACGTCCTCTTCAGTCTGTCTGTCAAATTCCTCCTCCCCAGTCCTTGTTGTGTTTTCTGCGATCTGCTATTTCCTCTATAACTCTCCTGATGAGAAAATAAAGGGCAAAGTAAACATTATTTTATACAGTTCAGTGTTTTTTGCTCTTGCAAATTCTGCACTGATCATCATAATCCATATTACTCAATTTAATCCACACTGTTCATCCCAATCCTCACTGCTCATTCCAATCCACGCTGCTCATCCCAATCCACGCTGCTCATCCCAATCCACGCTGCTCATCCCAATCCACGCTCCTCATTCCAATCCACGCTCCTCATCCCAATCCACGCTGCTCATCCCAATCCTTGCTGCTCATCCCAATCCTCACTGCTCATCCCAATCCTCACTGCTCATCCCAATCCACGCTGCTCATCCCAATCCACGCTGATCATCCCAATTCTCACTGATCCTCCCAATTCTCACCGATCATCCCAATCGTCACTGCTCATCCCAAACCACGCTGATCATCCCAATCCTTACTGCTCATCCCAATCCACACTTATCATCCCAATCCACACTGAAAATCCTAATCCACACTGATAATCCCAATCCACACTGATAATCCTAATCCATTCTGCTCATCCTAATCCACACTGATAATCCTCATCCATTCTGCTCATCCTAATCCACACTGATAATCCTAATCCATTCTGCTCATCCCAATTCATACTGCTCATCCCAATCCTCACTAATAATCTTAATCTGCACTTCTCATCCCAATGCTGGGATGGATTATCAATGACGGACAGACATGGAGGTGTGACGGACAGACTGAGAAGGAATGTGACGGACAGACATGGAGGGGATTTCCTATACAGGGTGGTGATCTGACAGAATCTAGGAGCTAGGGGAGAGGGGGCGGGGCTATGTAAATACACATGCGGCTGAAGGGAGGGGTTACGGAAATAGCCGAGCGGCAGGGGGAACCAAGATCTACAGGGGAACAGAATTCGACACACACAACTCGCAGCCAGGTCTTCTATTCAACTACCGACACTGGTATAGGTAGAAAAAGGCATCAGGGATCGGCTGCTCTTCCTGGAGGAGGGCTGATGACGTCAGATGGTAACAGAGGAAGTGGAGGGGTAACCAGGGACGCAGGAAAGTGTAAGAGCGGCTGTTAGATTCTATACCTGAGATCAGAAAGATCAACAACAGGAGGACGGAGAGATCTCAGCGGGGACTGCATGGAAGATATCTCAGTAAGAAAGACTGGGGAATGATCACAGACAGGCTGGAAAATCTGACTGATATCTGAGAGGAGGAGACAGGCTGGGAACACTGATATCTGATAGAAAGGGACAGGCTGGGAACACTGATATCTGATAGAAAGAGACAGGCTGGGAACACTGATATCTGAGAGGAGGAGACAGGCTGGGAACACTGATATCTGAGAAGAGGAGACAGGCTGGAGCACTGGTATCTGATATCTGAGAGGAGGAGACAGGCTGGAGCACTGGTATCTGATATCTGAGAGGAGGAGACAGGCTGGAGCACTGGTATCTGATAGAAAGAGACAGTCTGGGAGCACTGATATCTGAAAGGAATAGACAGGCTGGGAACACTGATATCTGAGAGTAGGAGACAGACTGGGGGCACTGATATCTGAGAGCATGTCCTCTTCTCCTAGATCTGATGTGACATGTCCTCTTCTCCTAGAACGGATGTGACATGTCCTCTTCTCCTAGAACGGATGTGACATGTCCTCTTCTCCTAGAACTGATGTGACATGTCCTCTTCTCCTAGAACTGATGTGACATGTCCTCTTCTCCTAGAACTGATGTGACATGTCCTCTTCTCCTGGAACTGATGTGACATGTCCTCTTCTTCTAGAATGGATGTGACATGTCCTCTTCTCCTAGAACGGATGTGACATGTCCTCTTCTAGAACTGATGTGACATGTCCTCTTCTCCTAGAACTGATGTGACATATCCTCTTCTCCTAGAACTGATTTGACATGTCCTCTTCTTCTAGAATGGATGTGACATGTCCTCTTCTCCTAGAACTGATGTGACATGTCCTCTTCTAGAACTGATGTGACATGTCCTCTTCTCCTAGAACTGATGTGACATGTCCTCTTCTAGAACTGATGTGACATGTCCTCTTCTCCTAGAACTGATGTGGCATGTCCTCTTCTCCTAGAACGGATCTGACATGTCCTCTTCTCCAAGAACGGATACATAGGCGACCATGTCCTTTCCCCTCCGGCAACTGATAAGAACAGATACTACACTTGATGTTAGCCAAAAGGCAGAGAAGCGATAAACATTTCTTCTTCTTACTCCTTTCCAGATGTACAACTTCTCGGACAATTACTGACAGAGTCATCACATTACAATGGCGGATTCGGATCCACAACTTATGGTGAGGTCTTTAATTTTTTTTCGCTCTTCCTTTTATAAACTAGTGGATGACTACGTAATGAGATAGACATATGTAATAGTTCCGGGGCGCATCAGGCTGATCTCTATTATACTACGATATGCCAATTGCTTCTATCAATTGTTTGGTTTCTACACAAGGACTTTGTATCTGTAAAATCATGTCACATGTCCTATTACTGGGTTCTCTCATGGTAACAGAACTATTCTCCTTTCTTGTGTTTTTTCTTATTATTATTATCACTACTTTTATGTGTTACTCGTGTTTTGGCAAAGATGCAAAGTAAATGACTTTTGTTTTCTAGACCTCTATTATTTTTTACTGTAATGAGAAATACTATCGCCATATGCAAAATCTAGCAAGAGAAGGTCTGCAGAAATACTACAATGACCCTGTGCTTCTATTCTTCAAAGCTTATGGTATCCTAACGGAAGGTAAGTCGCCATATAACATCCATCAGGCTTTGCCATTCTTAAATCTTCCCTATCTCTTTCCTCAGTCTGCGACAAAGCTTTTACTCATGGTACAACTAAAAATATTCCCTCTTCCATACACCCCTAGATTGTTAGGCTAGCCGCACACTGTTTAATTATTCCCCTATCCACGCTTAACAGCTTGGATAGAGGAATCCTCATTGCTGGCTATTGTATTCCGCAGCTTCTGCTCCCACGACTTTTGAATTCCCACACAGTGCCAACATCTGATTCGGATGCAGGCACTGTGCAGCCACAAATGTTCCACTAATTTTCCACCCAGCTCCTTTCACAAAATTCAATTTTTCAACCTAGTGGTGCCACCCAGAGCTCAGATTTCTCTGCATTGAATTAGTGCAACCCATTCATTATGAATACACTACCAAAGCACCCCAGCACACCTCTCAACAGAACTGACCCCCCTTTTTTTAATTAATTTATTTATTTTGTGGCAGCACACTACAAAAAACAGTTACCGTGTCTTGCAGTGCATCACAATGCTTTAGTGCATTTGTGTGCATATAAAAATGACTGGCACCACAATGCCAGAATTAATGCATGGGGTACTACCATGTGTTGCAAAGAATAACAACAAGCAATGTCAAATATTCTCTAAACTACTATTGCAACTCAGAAAAATGTTCAACTGTCTCAAGTTAGAAAGTCCACAAAATACTTTAGTTTAAAAAATCGAAGATAAAAGACAAAAGCAACCCTTTGGTACTTGTGCAGCTTTTGGAACCCAGCAGTCTGTAGTGTGAGTGGGATCATTGATATTTTCAGGGGTAATAGCAGTGATCTCTTTTAGCTTCATGTAACACTTCTTCAGTCTCTCTCATTGTCACCTACAACATGTCTCCAGTTTCAACCGCACACTTAACTTGTCCTCAGTCTTTGATCATCTTTTTTTTCTAGAGTGTCTTTGAGAGTTCTCTCTAGCATTACATATGATGAACATTATATGCAGCCCTTTAGTAATGTCAGGGGCTGCATTTGAGGCCCCCATATACTTTGTAAATTGACAATAACTGCTATGGACAGTGGTGCAGATCTCCGCCACTCATTCTAGACAATTTCCCTCCTTGAGATCTACAACCCTGCACATAATGCCTCCTCCTGTGGGTGTGCATAATCAGGCTGCATGAAGACTTTGGTTAGTGTAGTTGAGGATACTTGGCTTGCAAAATGAAATGCTCGCAAAATGAAATGCTCAGAACTAGTTGATCTCAGAACATCAGGTAACTGTCAACTGAAGGATTATACACAGCAGTGTGACCCTAGTGTATTCACGCAATGTCAAGATGAAGAACAAACATGTATGCTTAATGTAGAACTCCACTACAACATTACAGTGGTCCAATAAAATAAAAAGCAGGTTTTGCTACAATACTCACTTTAATCTGAAGCTGTTTCCCACAGTAAGTCTTGACCACCATCAGCTGTTGCCAGGGTTCCAGGTTAAATAGTGGTCAGCTTCATTCAACCCACTTCCATTGGGCCCAGGTTGTCATGGACCCACCCTCTAGGGGTTGCTCATTAGGGCAGCTTGGGCTCTCTGTACTGCGGCACTGAACGACACTGATTGCATTTCATTTCAGACGTAAGAGCTGCTCACTGTCACCGCCAGAGAAGAGGAAGGAACCATGGCATCACCATAAAACACTTTTATGTTTGTTAAGATAGCTACAGTTGGGGCCTCAGGGAGAAGATAGATAAAATAAAAGTATTTTTCCAGCCAAAAGCTTTTTTTTGGGCAAAATGTCATAGTGATAAAGCTTCTGTCAGATTTTTACTGCATAATGTGACACTGTTGAAGAGATTTCCTCTTTTCCTGTTGCAAACGAAGATGGTGGGAAATCTCTACAGTGCAG